CGAGAGGAGTCCAAAGAAAGCACTTTCCGGAGGATTAGACGTCGGAAGGAGCCGAAAACTGCGTTGGAAGGTGCGGTGGCTAGGAATTTCAAACTGAAATTCCGGCCGATTAGTAGGGAATCGGGCGGCGTGGTGATGGAGGTTTTCTAGATCGGCTCATGGGCTTCTTGGATCTGATCTCGGATCACTGTGGGTTGGCCAAAGGTCGTCGGAATCGATGGCGGCACGTTTCTTCTTCCGTTTGTCGTGAGTCTCTCACGTTTTTCTCTCTTTGATGAATAAGCGTAGATAATGCAATTTTGAAAAACTTTTCCTACCGAATAATATAATATAGTAAGGCCTCGTTAATTTCACCGATTCGAGTTTTTAGTTTTAGGTTTCTACAGTAAAAAGCTCTCAGAAAATTTTACATCTAACTTTTTCTGTTACAGTGAAAAACTCTCAGAAAATGTCATATCTCAACTCGAATTGAAAACTCGAATCCGCGAAGTGAACGAGGCATAAACCTTCATTTATGGAGAAATCCATCACTGGAAAGAATGCTCTTTCGTCCTTAGAAATTCTATATGATCCTATTTTGTCAGGCAACGACAAATTAGAGCAACATTAATCATCTTTATAGTTCCTAAACTATTGGCGTTTGTTTCCTATATTCGTCCTTGATTCTAAATCATGATTCATAGTTCTCTACAGTATTTTCTCTCACAAAAAATACACGTAAAACGAGAATAATTCTGAATCATGATTCTGAATACATAAACCAAACGTGCTCCCAAAATGAGACCCTAAGTAGTGGCGGAGCCAACATTTTACCTCAAAAGGCACAAACTAAAAATGTTAAAACAAAGTAGAAACACTTAACAAAATCAACTCCTAATACTATTAGTTCTTTTTTTTTTTTGACATACTATTAACTAGTTAGAAACATGTGTATATTGACTAGTTTATTGAACTTTTTGATATGTGACTTCAAAATTTTGAAGAGTTTAAATTTTTTCTTGTTTGAATTTATTACTCTCTTAAGAGTTTAGTTTAGTAAAAAGAATATATTTAAGTAAAATAGATTGAAATATGCTTTTCAATCAAAATATGCTTTTGGATGAATATTATATATGTATAGATAAGTAGAACATATTTGAAGAATAAAGATTTTAGTAAATAAATTAGATTAAAAAATCACTTAGGAGATATATAATACATATGAGAAAATAGTAGTTGAGAGTGCCGTAAGAAAAATAAAATTATTTAAGTATGCAGGGACTCATTTGAAGGGGAAAAAAAACTACTTCAACAAGAGAAAACTAGAGAAAATGTGTTTATGAGAAAAATAATAATTGAGAGGGGAAAAAATCCTAATTTGACAAGAATTATTTTAATTAATCATATAAACTTTTTTTATAAGGCTCACTTTTAATATAATAAAGATTATATGAAAAAGTATTTTAAAAGTACCAATTTCAAATAAAAAATATTTCATAGGAGTAAATTAGAAAAAAGAAATAATTCAATTAGAAACATATAAAAGTATAAGATTTAGAAAAAAGATCAAAAGAACAATAAAAAAATAATTGAGATTGAATTTTGTTGAGATATATTTAAATTTTTTACTAATAATGGAGGGACATATCTGAAAAATTTAAAAAAAAACTATATATGAAAAATAAAATGTTAAAAAATAAAAAAAAATACTTAAAAAAATTAACTCCTAATACTATTAGTTCTTTTTTTTATTTTTACTTTTTTGACATACTATTAACTAGTAGGAAACATGTGTATATTGACTAGTTGAAATTAGTTTTTACTTTTATTTTTGTTATGCACATGTATATTGACGAGTTTATTGAATTTTTTGATATGTAAATTCAAAATTTTGAAGAATTTAAGTTTTTTCTTGTTTGAATTTATTACTCTCTTAAGAGTTTAGTTTAATAAAAAGAATATATTTAAGTAAAATGGATTGAAATGTGCTTTTCAATCAAAATATGCTTTTGGATGAATATTATATATGTATAGATAAGTAGAACATATTTGAAGAATAAAGATTTTAGTAAATAAATTAGATTAAAGAATCATTTAGAAGGTATATAATACGTATGAGAAAATAGTAGTTTAGAGTGTTGTAAGAAAAAAAAATTGTTTAAGTATGTAGGGACTCATTTGAGGGGGAAAAAACTACTTCAACAAGAGAAAACTAGAGAAAATGTGTTTATGAGAAAAAATAATAATAATTGACAGGGAAAAAATCCTAATTTGACATGAATTTTTTTAATTGATCATATAAACTTTTTTTATAAGGCTCACTTTTAATATAATAAAGATTATATGAAAAAGTATTTTAAAAGTACCAATTTGATATAAAAAATGTTTCATAGGACTAAATTAGAAAAAAGAAATAATTCAATTAGAAACATCTAAAACTATAAGATTTAATAGAAAAAAGATCAAAAGAACAATAAAAAAATAATTCAGATTGAATTTTGTGGAGATATATTTAAAGTTTTTACTAATAAAGGAGGGGCATATGTGAAAAAAAATTTAAAAACTATATTGAAAAATAAAATTTTAAAAAATAGAAAAAATACTTAACAAAATCAACTCCTAATACTAGAAGTTCTTTTTACTTTTTTTGACATATTATTAACTAGTTGAAAACATGTGTATATTGACTAGTTGAAATTAGTTTTTACTTTTATTTTTGTTATGCACATGTATATTGACTAGTTTATTGAACTTTTTTATATGTGATTTTAAAATTTTGAAGAGCTTAAGTTTTTTCTTGTTTGAATTTATTACTCTCATAAGAGTTTAGTTTAATAAAAAGAATATATTTAAGAAAAATAGATTGAAATATGCTTTTCAATCAAAATATGCTTTTGGATGAATATTATATATGTATAGATAAGTAGCACATATTTGAAGAATAAAGATTTTAGCAAATAAAGTAGATTAAAGAATCATTTAGGAGGTATATAATTTGTATGAGAAAATAGTAGTTTAGAGTGTCGTAATAAAAAAAAATTGTTTAAGTACGTATTGACTCATTTGAAGGTGGAAAAAACTACTTCAACAAGAGAAAACTAGAGAAAATGTGTTTATGAGAAAAAATAATTGAGAGGGAAAAAAATCCTAATTTGACAAGAATTATTTTAATGGATCGTATAAACTTTTTTTATAAGGCTCACTTTTAATATAATAAAGATTATATGGAAAAAATATTTTAAATGGTACCAATTTAAAATAAAAAATGTCTCATAAGAGTTAATTAGTAAAAAAAAATCAATTAAAAACATCTAAAAGTATAAGATTTAATAGAAAAAGATTAAAAAACAATAAAAAAATAATTGAGATTAGATTTTGTGGATATATATTTAAAATTTTTACAATTAAAAGACGGACATATATGAAAAAGTTTTAAAAAACTATATATGAAAAATGAAAAAGCAAAAATCCAGAGGGAGCATATGTTCCCGGGCCCCACCTCCCTCCGCCACTGTCCCTAAGCTATTAAAGTAATCGAAATTTGTCTTTTTCTCCATCTGATTGCCAACAACAAGACTGAAAATGAGAGATAAAAGAGGACATTTTTTTGGGGGTCCCAAGTACTAAAAACTCGTTCATATCTCGCGTTCAGAGAAATGATGCCAACAGCATTAGGGTTTGGTGTATGATGATGATGTTTAGACACTGAAAAACAATCCACTGGTTCTAAGCCCAATTAATAGTCAAGAGACGGTCCAATGTCGCAATATGTCCACTTTATTTTCTCTAATTTTAAATATAAAAAAAAAACAAAACAAAAAAAGCAAAAAACAAGAAGAAAGAAAGAAAAAAGGCTCTACTTCACCGAGCTAGTATTGCTAATATTGCCATTATTTCACTCACTAACTTTTGATTTATCCACTGAAAGTGCAACTACTAAAAAGGACTTGGATAAGTATAAAACCTCACAAAAATAATCCAATCCAAGTAAAAATAAAAGGATTAGAAGATAATGCGTTGAACTACGATCATTTCAATTAGTTCTTAGAATCTTACTTCTTCTTTATTGCTTTTAGGTGTCCTTTTTTTTTTTCTTCTTCATCTAGACAATTAAAAGAAAATGTCAAATTTTTTTTTACTTTTTCTTGTCTGTTACTTGTCTCGTTCCTCTCGGATTACCGTTGACCAACAATGAGATGTAAAGCTACTAAGCCACAGACGATGGACGCATTAGAGTTGAGTGCACATGTGACGTTCGTAGGAGCGATCACCATACTCGAGTGAGTGATCTTCTCGCCTACCAACGAAGGTGGTTTGTGCTCGTTGTCCGCACAAATATCTCGATTAACCGTCTAGCGACCAAATCTATTCACAACAAGGTACTAGAGTCTAGACTAGAGTTCAAGAACTCAGATCTCCAATAGAGTGGCTAAGAGGTCAAGAAACTCGACCCCATCTTGAGTAGGAGTCGAGCTATATCACGAATAAGATTGTATACCACGGGTGTCATAACTTATAACTCTCTTTTTTTTAAATAAGACGTTTAATTTATAAATTTAAAATTATGATTCAAAATTATTCTTAATTTATGTGTGTTTTTTATGTGAGAAAATACGATAGGTTAGTCAATTTATTGATTTGCATCGTGAAAAATAAGATAAGCATTGGGGCTACTACTACTACTACAGCCCAAAACTAATGTGACTTTTCCAAAAGCTCTCAGAAGAAACTAATTGCCAATTTAGACAGCGAAACCATCTCAGTGGCTGGTCGATTATTCATTCAAACTTTCTTATAAAAAGATCCAAACCAAAACATCCTTTCCCAACTAGTTGTTGTTTGTAATTTTGCATCATCAATTAATTGCACCACCTAACACATCCATTTCTCAAACCCACTTTCCTAGTAATATTATCATTTGTTAGTTAATTTTACCAAACTTAGAATAAAAAAAATGAAATAGTATTAATAACAACAAAGATTATTATATAATCATGTTTATACGAAGAAGAGATCCAACTTCCTTATTATATGGACTAAAAAGAAAAAGGTAAAAGACGAATTTACAGCAGTCACAAAAGGTCCTGCCCAAGGAGCTCTTCCAAAAAAAGAGGGGGGCGGGGGGGAGGCAACTGAAGGAAAAATGTGAAAAAAAAAAAAAAAAAAAAAAAAAAAAAAAAAAAAAAAAAAAGGAAAGAAAGAGAGGAAAGAGAAGTCCTCCATCAAAACTGCCACAAACCTTCTAAAAAAATAAGAAAGGCAAGGAAAATTGTAAATCTCCTAAAAAATAAAAATAAAAATGAAAACTAAAAACCACCAGCAATCATCATAATCATGCTTGGTGATCCATCGATCATCACCGTCATCGTCATCGACACAGTTAATCACCGTCCATCGTGATGACTAGCCTAATCGGTATCTCTGACCACAAAAATCTAGAGAGAGATCATTCCTTCCTTCATTCATTTCATTTCACCGCAGAGAGAACCAGGCGACAAGGTCAGAGCCGACGCGGCGGCGCCGGGTGAGCTCCACGCTCTCGTCGGCGGCGGCGGCGGAGACGAGCGGCGAGCGGCAGAGGGGACAGCTGAAGTTGAGATGACCAAGCCAGCCGTCAAAACAATCCTTGTGGAACACGTGGCGGCAGGAGAGCCTCCGGACCTGGTCCCCAGGGGTTAGGGTGGATAAGCAGACCACGCAATCGGAGCCCCCACCAGCGCCGCCGTCGGAGTAGCGGTAGGAGAAGACGCGGTTGAGGTTGAGCTGCTCGGCGAGGACGATTAGGCCCGCCAGGCCCGAGCCTAACAGGCCGTCGTCGACGGGCTCCGGCCCGAATCGCTGAGGGAGGAGGCCCAAGAGGACGGAGCGGACGTAGCTGACGCAGTTGGCGATGATGGCCACCAGGAGGAGAGGGATCGAATCCGACGACACGTCGTTTAGTTGGCTTTGTAATCCCATGTCTGCGTTTCTTCCGATTTCCGTTCGAAATTGGTCGTAGTCTCTGGCGGCTTTTGTTTGTAGAGATTAGAGAAGGGTAGAGAGATGCTAAAATAGGAGGAGAAAGGGAAGAGAGAGAAGCAGAGGAATTGGGAGAGGAAAAGAGGTTTGTATATATAAGAAGAGATGGGAAAGAACAGTTAAATTTATTTTATTTATTATATTTTTTAACCGATTTTTTTTTTTTTGAAAAGTAGTTTTTTTATTATTTTCTATTTTTCTTGGTTGTCAAGAGAGTTTTGATAAATATAAAAAAGACAGTTCTACAGTGAACTGAACATTTCAGAACAGTAACTCATCCGTAAGTCGGGTTTGGAATTGATCATATTTTTATTTTTTACGTTTTTTAAGAAAGAAAAATGAAAATGTTTTTAAAACAGCGTTTGATGCAATAAAGATAAAAAATTAAAATGAAAACGATTTTTTGGTTTAGTATAAAATGAGAGAAAAATAAAAAACGACTTTTAGTCTTTTTATTTTTTGTTTTCGTTTTCCCCTCTCTCGAGCAGAGAGTGAGAGACATTAATGAATTTTTTTATACTAAAAACAATCTCTTGATAAAACTACTAAACGCATTTTCAAAAATGATTTCTGATTAAGATTAAAAACGTTTTCATTTTCATTTTCATACAAAAAATAAAATCATTTTAAAACGAGTTTCAAACACGCCCATAGTGTTTTTTTCATCTTATACCATAAAATTTTCTTGTATATTTGCTTGCGTACTTGATATTTTTATACTAACTTAAAATTAAATAGTATGTAAATTCAATGAAATTCAATGATTTGATAATTTAGAAGTACCACTATGGTAGAATTTTGCAGTAGCAATAAATAGTGATCAATTTCCATAGTTGCTTTTAAGTTGAACTTTGAACAACAAAGGTTGTATATGGTAAACATTGAATGGCCGTAATCTACTCTATGGATTTTGTGTTTTTTTGCTAGTGCTATACCCCTTTAGCTTTTTATTTTTTATTTTTTATTTTTATGAAAAGAGCTATACTCTTTAGTTAATTATTAAATTATATACTATATTCAAAGGGAATCAATAATTGAAAGAATAATGATATTGTATGAAAGTAAATTTTGTAAGACACAATTTATAATATTGTAAGAATTATATTACATTAAAAAAAGTATGATAGTTTATTGAAATTCGAAGAAATTCAATGCTTAAAAAAATTATGTTTACTTATAGAGTTTTTCTTTTCATAAAATGTAAATGTAGACTTTACTTTTAGTCCTTGAATTTTGCTAAAAAATTAATTTTAAAAGAGTGGCTGCCGCTTGAAACTGTATAAATACTGAAAATTTATTGAAGATAAGTCAAAACACAATAGAGATTATTTTCCTTTTACATATTTCAAAGGAGTCGTCTCATCGGAGGGTTTTTTTTATGCTCATTTACTTAAATTCGGAATCTTTTTCTTCCGAATTTACCGCAGGCCGAATTGACTTATACCCCGAAGCCGACGTGAACATTTTTGTTATATTATTAATTCCCCATTCTTCTCCAAAACATCACTGAGAAAGTTGAGGGACTTAAACGTCTTATTTTGAGGGGGGTTTTTTTTTTTTTTGGTTGCTAATCGTCCTATTTTGAGGTTTCTAGACTAGCACAAGACTTTCACAATAATTTGAGGAGTAAAATTAATCCAATGAGTAACAATTAACAAGAGAAGCATTGCGTGGGTAAAGCGAAAGGACCGACAGTGAGCTAAGTGAGCCATAGACGTACGACACATGGTTTGAAACTTTGAGTGACGTGTTTTTATTTATTGGGGATTTTTGTGGCGAGACTTAGAAAAAATAAAAAGAAAATTATATGGTTTTATATAAATTTATTATTTATATCATTTTAAATAATTAAGTGTTATTATAACATTTTATTTTTTATTTATTAATTGAATGACAATGTTTATTTTGTAGTGAGGTTGACATAAAATATGTTGTAATATATATTTTTTTAATTTTGATATGATTTTAACGAGATCCAACAGTGAAAAATATGTAAAACTGATCAAAGATAGAAAGATTTTTTTTGTTTCTTTTTTAATTTACTATTTTGTTTCTTTTTTTGTCTTATTTTCTTATTGTATTTGTTAATTTACTAGACTTTCCTGAAATCTTGTAAAACATTGCCTCTTGAGGGTTCAGGGGCTAATTCAGTCGGGGATTTTGGTGGGAGGGGGATCAGCAATACAAAATTGTAGTTCCTCGCTCCATCCATCAATATGACTCATAGGCTTATTATTTTAGAGTCTACCGTGTATTGTTTTTCAGTAGTCACAATAATGATTTTCTTAAGGATTAATTTCAAAAATATGACCTTAATTATGTAGCTCAATATGCTCTCTAAATTTTAAAAATGGTTCTTCACTTCTCGAACTATACAAAACCGTTCAAACTCTCCCTTTGTCTATTTGTGACACTATTTATAATTTCATAAATACTGATCAAACAATTAATTTTAAGTTAATTTACTCTCTGAATTATTGATTTTGTGTCTACTTATTCCCTGATCTTTTTTAAAGATCGAGGAACAAATTGATATAAAATCAATAGCTCGTGAACATTTATAAAAGTATGTCAATTCAGGGGTCGTTTTGAATTATTTTTTTTAAATTCAAAAGATATATTGTTATTTACATTTAAATAGATATTTATGAAATTAATTCTCAAAAGTAATACAAATCATTAAAGGTTTTTGTTAAATTAAAGCATCTTCAATACAATGTCACACTAATGTGTTGTCAAATTTTGACTTTTGAGTGAAGAAAAACACTGTCCTGATAGATTGTTAATTTTTATTTAAAGTTAACAAATTATATATGCTATAATGCGACTAAGTATAACATTTGTCAATTTAACATTTAAATTTTATTGGTTGATACATTAATTTTTTATTTAATCATTACACAATTGTTCTTTTAAAATTATTGTAATATTGAAATTTTATTTTTATAAGTTTTAAAACTTAAAAATATTGACAAAAAATAGAAATAGCATTTAAGATAACATTATTCGTTGAAGCATAAAATATAGTAGTACATCTATATTGAGAATTTGCATTGAACATCATGATCTTATTATGTTTCATTTGATAAAAAACGCCCCAACTTATAAATGGATTCAATTCATTCAGTACCTGCCTGATATATTTCAAAAGAATAGATTGTATTGAAATTACATTCTGGAACTTGTAACACCCTCCAAGCAAATGTGGATTTCGGGCATGGAATATTGTACAAAATCACTCCTTTTTCTTTCTCTTAGTTAATTTCTTTATTATTATTTTTTAGTTAAAATTCTCTTTTGTCCGTTTTCTAAGTTTTGAAGACTTGGATTGCATTCTACCTAGAAGGAGGTTTATGTACAGTTATGAACTTTCAAAAAAAAAAAAGTACAATTAGAACTTATTGCCATCCCTATGTATGTATATAGCTTAAAAGGATGAGGATGAGGTACAAGTACCATGTGCGAGTTAATTTATAAGTGTCAAAATTAAAATGTGCGGGGTTTAATTTGTCAATCGACGAAAAGTATGGGGTCCATTTATGCAAAAATTATGTCGCACTTTGTTTTTTAATTCATGACTTTCGTTATCTGTTGGAGTGCAATTGTCAAGAACTATCTAATTTGAAGTTTTAAATGCGGAAATTAAAAGTTCAAGATTTAATTCAAGTTATTTTTTAAAAAAAAATGACTTTGTTCTCTTTTTTTCTTTTTTTAAAACACCGGTGTTTTTTATTTATCAATTGTTAGATTTGTATTAAATTTAATTAAAAATAAAATCATATTAAAAAAATAATATAGATCCAACGATTGATAAACAAGAAACATCGTCCTAAAAAGAAAAAACACTATGAGAAATTCCACACACACAAAAAAAAGAAAAAAGACAATTGAGGTTGCATAAAAAAAAAAAGCATCTTGGGTGAGACCTCTTAAAAATACTTATCAGTAAAACATTTTATTTTTACCGTTGTATTAAGTTTTTAACGATCAAATTTATATAAATATGTATTAAAAATTTACAACACATAATACAAAATTACTCTTTTTATAAATCATTTAACCGTTAAAAAGTAATCTAATATCAAAACAGAATGTTTTATTGATGAGTTTTTTTAAATAGTCTCACTATAAAAAAAAAAGACTTAAAAAAAAAAGTTGATTACCCGTAGTGAAGTAATCTCCAAGTACACCTTTCATCATCACTTGAAAAGGTGGGGATGAGCTAGGGCCACCAAGCCCCATCCCAACCTATGGCGGTGCCTGAACAGCACACAAAGACATGTGGAGCTAGCTAGCTAATGAATAATCTTAACATTGAAGGGAGAGTTATACATTTACGGGGAATATTCCAAATCTTTTATATATAGCTTCCAATTTGGTTTTATATGTATATAAGAAAATAAAATGTTTTCTTGTTCTCCCAAACTGTAGTACTAAGCGTGGATGGTTGTAGACCTCATTCTTCTCACAGGACATGACGCAATGCCCAATTTTAATATTAGCTTTTCTGATTCCATTAGATCATCTTTTTCAGAAGTGTGTTTTTGTTTTTTGAAAAAAAAAAAAGAATAAAAAAGAAAAAGAGAAAAGAAATTCTTTTCTTATGATCCAGATCCCTTTTGTAGATTCTTCATTTGTTTTGTGGAGTACATTTATATGATAGGATAAATTTTAAAACTTCATCCTCAAACTGTAAAAAAGTCTTATAACAATGTTGGCCTGAATTTTAGCTTATATTAATTGAAAAAAAAAAATTATCCTGTTAGAATTTAAGACAAAAAATATTGGGACGTATGGGGGATGTGAAAATGAAGGAGGTGATTTCCCAACTATAGGCTGCCCTAATGAATCAATTTTTTGACTATCAAAATCCTAATTGCCTCATATATTGACTATTTTTAATGGGTAAATTCCATAAGTATACCTCTTACTTTTGACTTTTCTTAATTTATCCTTCTATTTTTAAAAATTAACAGAGATATTAGGGGAAGGGGGCAGGAGAATTTTTAAAAACTAACAAAGTTTTGCTTTTTACGTCTAAGGGGAGGGAATTT